CAAATATTTATCTTTTACATACCTTAATGTAAAGCCCCCTCTCAGATTAACTAATATCAAGTAATCACAACTTCATGAATACCCCGATTACCTTTAGAAAGATTTATAGGATATTATCGAATAATAAGCAATTAACATTCCACTGCATGTGCCAACCAACTCATTCCCACCATAGGAAAGAAAAAAAACCCTAAAAATGGTGTAAATTAACATTGCAGGGAGGATGCAGGTTTGGAGAATGAACTAGTACATTAAGCAAAATTGCATGTCAAGAAACAACTTATACCAGTAGTTTTGAAGAACTAGTCTTAAATGTGACCCGTTTCTAATAATCCATCTACCTGTTTCTGTAAATAAGTGGTAAAGAATTTTGTAACACTGACTGATTTTCTACTAAAATTTTCTTTATGCATGAGGAAAATTTAACGGTTGTCATGTTCCATAGTAAACATATAAAAATATTGCAACTGTCTGCTACAGGTTGTTTTGTTTTCAGACTTCGCAGTGTTTTGGCTTCTAAAAAGATGTAGAATTTCCAGACTATATAATTCTGGATTCTAGCTGTGTTTCATCCCACATGCTTGTAAACTGAACACATTTGAGATAATTTCTCTGGAAACAAGGATTCACTCTTGGTTTTCAGGCTACAGTGTGCTATCCATTTCTGAAAGAGAATTCCCCAGTGAAACTGGTGAGGTTAAAATGATTTAGAGCCTTTTTGTCAGAGAAACAATTCTATTTCCATCAAGTTTAAGATTCAAATAATTATCTTTGGGGGTTTGACTCAATCTTGCTGAAGTCCATCAGGCTCTTTCCATGGCTCACAGAGCCAATAGCATCAAATTTTCATTTGGCTTTGGTCACTACTGCCTGTTATTCAGTATACTTTCTTTATCATTATACTTACAGCTAGCTTGATATAGATATCACTGTTGACACTGTGATTATTCAGATTTTTATTTATGAACACGCACAGCTATTGTTCCCTATAATTAATGCAGCATACTTGGGAGGCATTCCAGACAAACCTATGTGAAGGCAGTCTAGTTCGTGTTCAAATAGGTATCTTGGCATTTTGAAAGAAGAGGTTTCTTTCTTTCTTGATTTTGCTATGAGGTCAATAATTTTCCATAAGTTTATGTGGGGAAAAAGTTTGTTGAAACGATATCCAGAGCCTCTTTTTAACAATAATTTTCCTTTGCTATATCTTGCCAAGATTATTTAAGCCTCCCAGTGCATATTTATAGGAAGTTTGGACAAGGATGGAAGGAGGATTCATTTTTCTGAGCTCTCGTTCAAGAGTCTGAATATTTCATTGCTTTATTAAAAAGGAGATTTTTCACCCTGCTGTAGCTTTTGGATATCTGGAAAAAAAAAAAAAAAAAGTGTTTTCACAGGTTACTGCAAGGTTTTTAGTAAAAACATTTTTATCCAACATGCAGTCACAGCATATGCCGTTGCTGTGATGGATACACTCTAGAGACTTTACCACCTGTTGGCCCCTCACCTGTGCCCTGCCTGGCTCTGGAAGGGCTTTGTGCTCCTTGTAACAGGGAGATTTCAAACCACTGCTGTTAAGCAAACGCAGGGCTCTTCCAAGACAGGCTTGGCTAATGTTGCCTTGAGACAGATCCAGTACAATGTTTACTGGAGGCTATGACATGGTTTTGACCTCACCTTTGCCTTCAAGTTTGTCCAGTTTCAAGCACCGCTGGATTTCACTGGTATTTTCTTTTTCTTTGTTGCTTGTTAACTGCTGCTCTTCTTGTATTACCTTAAGTATGGATCAAACAAAGGAAAATATATACAAAAGTTAAGACTAGTCATTTTGTCTGTTGTCTAGGCAGAGAGATATGAAGACTTACCAAGAGAGGGCTATAAACTTCTTTGTAAGATTTTTAACATACGCATCATTACAGAATCATTACAGAAATAGTAGCACCAAAAGGGTCTCATCCTCCACAGTACTGGTACACGTTTTCTGTACGTTGATGTGCTCCATAGTGTTTTCCAGATAGATCCAGATAAATAACAAATGAAAGGCTTTTGACTTGGCTAAGCAAGAGAGCAAGCTTGGTGGAGTGGTGGGAGAGGGATGGGGGGAGGAGAACTGCCTCCTCAGACTCCTGGGAACTGAAAAGTAATATTATTGAGAATACCTCCACAGATGGATGAGTCCTGCTCAAAAATAATTCAGGAAAAGCCGGGAAGAGAGGTCCTCATTGGCATGACACTTCATGTAGACTGTGTTCCTTTTGGGATTTCCCAGTAGAGGTCTGTCTCATCAGACAGTTGACTAATGGAGTACAGCCGTCATTCTTCATTTCCTGCAAAGAAACTCGCAAGAGGTAAAGCTTCAAGAACAGCTCTCTCCCTTTTCCAAACTGCATTCCCATCAGAAAACTTGGAAAAGTTATAATAGGAAAAAAATGTTTTTTTTTTTTTTTCTTTAGTTGTGTGTTCTCAAACTGTTCTGAAGGGTCTATAAACCAGGGCATGCAGCTGTGCGATGGATAATCTGCGTACTTACTCGTTCCCTGACTACAGGCCAGAGTCTTCTCTGTGACAACATCTGAGTTCTGACTGGGCACCAGGTCTGAAAAATATATGTACACATTGTCATTGCACATCTGGAATTTAGAATTGCTAATGGATATGCTGTGATAGAAAAGAAAAGTGTCTGGCCAATAAACTTGTTTTATATATTTATTTTAAAAAGCATTACCACATTTCTGGCTAGTAGCCTTTCATCCTCTAGACTTTACACCAGTGCATCTGGAATGCTAAGCAGCTCTTTCAGAGATGCAGCCATACCCCAAAAGGCACCGTTTTTATTTGAAATAACTTTAAAAATTAATTAAAAAGGAAGAAGGTGGTGTTTTTCCCTATGAAGGCTTGCATACCTAGAATTTTATATCAGCTCCTATAGTCTCAGAAACCACAGGTGAAAATTCACTCTCAGGATCTCAGTTAATCTACTTCATCTTCCAAGATGCTGCTATAAACATGTGGAGCTGTCTTTGAATAATGTATTTGAACGTTATTACATGTGCAACTTTAAAGAGCAATTACATGCCGAGTAGCTTGTTGTAGGACTAGCAGTGGAAATCTGAGCATTTTGAGTTTCTACATGTCACTTTGGCATCCCTCCTCACCATAGTCACTGAACCCGCGGGCAGAGCAGATGTAAAAGTCCCTGTGCTTACCCTCCGTAGGGCCAGGGATGTCCCATTTTCTACTCAGTCTCTCTCAAATTCTGGGAATTTGCAAAAGAAAGAATTAGACACCAGCAAACAGAGAAAACTGCAAGACCACTGCCTGTCCAGGCGCACTTATAGGCGACCAGAAAATTACATACCATGGTAATGCATGAAATGTATTTCAGCCAAATTAAAGCAATGTCTCGTTTACTGGCCACCTTTACAGTTATGAAGCCCTGGCTGATACGGCGAGTGTTTCAAATCTTGATGCAGAGGCAATCTGAAATGCTCTGCCCCCCACAGGTAGTCTTTAATTTTATTTATATTTGCTTCAATAAATCTCATACCTTGACGTGTAGTGAGGATTTGTAGCACTGCATTACTGAAATCTTGAGAACCAGAGATAAGTTTTCTTCACTCGAGATTAGGAATTAGGCTCAAACTGTGAAACTAGGGGTAAAAGATCAGCTTTTTATGATCAGACCACCCATATAGTTTAATGGCATCTGTTCTGTTGTCCACATTGTGGCTTTGCAGGTACTTAGAAGACCCCCTCATGACCCCCCTTTTCCCACCCATTTCCCACCAAAGCTCCCATGACTGGCCTCAACAACAAAACCAGAACCACCCAGTCAGTGCTTTATAAAGCTTTATTGCAAGATGTGTTTACATAATGCTGTAGAGGTGAGCTTTTTAACTACTTATATCAAGAAATTTTGGACACAGGTCTGCGGTCAGTTTTCCATATTGACCCTGCATGGCACGGAAAAAAAAAAAAAAAAAAAAAAAAAAGGG